AGTCTCTGTGCGTTATTTGGGGCTGGCGCAGCGGCAGGACAAGACCAGAAGTGGGAGGAAAAACCTACTCCTTACAATTCAAAGGAACTAATCAGATCCTTATGCTAGAAGAAATCATATGTGTCTACATATGTATATGTATATGTGTACGTATGTGTAAATATATATAAAATGTTGCTCACAAATGAAGGCACATATGCCCAAGAAATTGACAAAAAATAAGGTGCTATCATTTGAATCTACAGGTGATGAGTGGAAACCTGATGCATCAATTTTTTAATTCCCTTTAAAAAACATTTTAGAGGAATAGATGAGAGGAAAAAAAGGAGAGAAAAGAGATATCATAAAAGAGGGAGCCATTATAGGTTTGAAGAGAAAACTGACTCTAGAGAAATGTCCAGAGACCTACAAGACTGACCCCAACTAACCATTTGAGCAACAGTAGAAAGGCTATCATAAATGCCCTTCCCTGATAATGAGATCAACGACTAACTTATCAACCATCATGGAGTCCTCATCTGGTAGCTGACAGAAACAGAAGCAGACACCTACAGCTAAACTCTGAGCCGAACTGAACTCCAGATGCAGAGAGGGAGGACAAGACCAGGCTACAGAAACCCACAGAGACAGCTGACCTGAACAAGGAGGGAGCTAATTGGCCCAGACTAATATCTGGGAAACCAGCATTGGACTGATTAAGACCCCCTGAACATGGGTCTCAGTTAGAAAGCCTGAGCAATCTAAGGGTCCTCTGACAGTGGAACAAGGATGTATCCCTGGTGTACAAAAGGACTTTGAAAGCATATTTCCCCATGAAGGGATACTCCCTTAACCTAGAGGCAGGAGGGAGAGCCTAGTCCCTACTCCAAATGACTTGACAGATTTTGTTGATCCCTCCTGGAAGGAATCACCCTCCCCTGTGGAGTGGGATGGGAGGGTGGTCGGAGGGCATCGGAGGGAGAGAGGAAGGGCGAGGGAACTGGGATCAATATGTAAAATCAGAAAAAAAAATAATAAAAAAAAGAACTGATTTAAAACAAACAAAAAATTTTAGTTCCATTCAATATGTGCTAATTATGGTTTCCGAGTTCTGCAACCTCTTCCACCTCTTTCACATCTCCTGCCGCATCTGGATCCACACCCTTCCTGTTTCTAATTAGAAAAGAAACAGGCTTTATACAATAAAAATGATGATAATAATAATGTAATTATTATATTATTAATTAAAAAACAAAAGCAGTCACCTCAGGATAGGACAGAACAGAAAGATACGAACCCAATGAAGAGATATGGAGCTGAGATCTATTTGTTCCCATAAAAATACAAACTTACAAGCCATAACATAAACTCTAAAATCCTATCGAATAAAAAGACAAGAAAATATAAAACTAAAGGAAAAATTGAAAGAGCATAAAATTAAAAATGAAAGAAAGAACAGGACCTGAGAAGACATTATAAGAAAAGGATCTGACAGGGACTGGTGGTGCACACCTTTAATCCCACAACTTGGGAGGCAGAAGCAAGCATATCTCTGTGAGTTCAAGGACACACTAGTCAACAAAGCAAAATCTTGTTCCAGCACAGGCTCCAAAGCTACATAGACAAACTATTTCCCACAAAGAAGATATGATTGCAAAGCCATCATAGTATATTCATAACAGCAAGCAGTCATTAAAAAAATATCCTTTCAAATCAAGGTAGTGTTGTAAGATGGTTATAACTTTTGAAATAAACACATGGTTGTTCTTTCCCAGAACAGTCAGAACAGAAACAGTACAGAACCATTTGTAAAAAATGTTACAGATGGTGCATAGCCCAATCCTTGAGAAACAGATGTGTAATCATAATCAGGAATGAAGCCAGTTTTTCTTTATTACTAAATGCTTTTTGAGCCTAATATGGAGGCAGGCTTATACATCATTCCCTACTTTTCTTATATATGTTTTTCAAATATTTGATAGGGCTGTAAGATTAACTATCTGTAGAATTAAATAAAATTCATAAAGTTGCATGGCCTATTTATAAATTATTCCGGGTAGTTTAGCATCAAAAGAACAAAGGTAATACAGGTAGCTGTTTTATACCCTTTAGCAGAGAGTTTTCTTTAGACCTAATATTCAAACCCGTGGATGAGAACAAGGGATATACTATTTCTGTCTCTCTGAAATTATGGTTCCATTGTCTGGGCCCAGGAAGGCCAAAGATGGTGAGAGGATTAGGGTATAGATCATCTTTGAAGCAATTTGTAATCTTCAATTGATGGCTAGATTGTATTTAACAGACAGCTGGAGTTCTGCCAAGACAGATATAGACAAGGTACAGAAGTCAAAACTAAAGAAATTTAAAAACTTATACAAATAGAGTTTCCCATTTAGGAAAAGGCAATATTGGGGAACTGCCCAGACTTACATACATTGAAGTATGAAGTCTTTCTTTTAAAGTACCTATATGAATTTCTATGTATGAATCATGTTATAAGTTTCCTCTCTCTCTCTTATTATTTTTTCTTATTTTACATATCGATCTCAGTTACCTCTCCCTCCCTCCCCCACCTCTCTCCCATCTCATTCCGCCATAAAAATATTTCTTTCATTTTTTTCACAATTCTTCTGCATTTTATTTATATTTCAATTTTTAATGGAATATACACAGTGAATGTACACAGAGGGTGTTATAAGTTTTAAGTCAACATTTGTTACATATTTTACATATTTTAACATTATACCCTGTAACACAGAAGCACATGCAAAGGATGGAGAGAGAAAAAACTAAACCAATATGTAAATTGTACAAGACATGCAGTCAGTGAAAACAAAATTAATACATCAACATAGGAACCATAGGAAGCATTGGTGACCTTTAGAGTTTCACCATTCAACCAAAGAGGTTTTTTTTTGTTTTGTTTTGTTTTGTTTTTTAAGAAATAAGACTTTTTCTCAGTTTCCTGCTTGCACAACCCAAGCAGTAGAAACCGCCATAAGCTTCCAGGTGTTGGGTTTCCTGGTTCATTAGGCCAAGCTTTTCTGCTTTTTCTCTCAGCTGTGGGTAATGATTGTCATGCTGTGTTGTGCCTACCCAATCACTTGGTTTCCTGGTCTACACATGATCCTCAGTGCTACTGTCTGTTTAGTGTGGGCTAGACATTGAAACCCTGCCAATGCTTGTTCATGTGGAAGCCTCTATGATTTCTTGGATCCCAGTCTCACCAAGGCATCCCTGGAGTTCCTGAGCAAGTCAGAAAAAGAACAGATTGTACAGATCAAACTCCTAAGTAACCTAAAATTATGAGATAGGCTGTGAAATATCTCCCTTGTTCTCCTGGATGGGGGTATATTGCACCCCATCAAACATGCTCTTCCACAATTTACTAAATCAGGATGCCATAGAACCAGAGCCAGAACAGATAACGAACCAGGCTTCACAAAAAGAGTTAGAACATTCCCGTGACTTACCAGAGTATGGTCCATGAAAAAGAAAAGGTGCTTGATCTTTTTTTATGATACTGCCATTTGTTCAGGCAATAAAACAAACAGAAGGCAAGAAGGCTAAGGGGCTTTGATAGATGTCTACAGTATGCATGGCTAGGAGCAGCTCTTCAGTCCTGGTAAGCCAGAGGACTCATATAAATTCCTAAAGGATTTAACAACTCAGGGATTGGGATTTTCTAAATGGGGGAATAGGCAGGCGATATAGGGCCAAATAAAGAAGTACTTTTTAAAAAATGAGTAATCTTACCACAGTACCCTATGTATTTGTAGTTCTCTTCTAATATTTCTCAGTACATCTGAAGAAAGCCATACTTCTGGGTGCTCTTAGCCCTATGCACCCTGTGCAGAGGCTATATGCTACATGCTTGCCTGAACCCCAGTCTATATCTTAATACTGGATGATCTTAGTGAAAACCAGGGAATAGAGTTTGCTATCTTCCCTTTCAAAGCAGCAATACCAAACCGTGGGAAGATATTGTACTAGATGTGGGTAGCAAATAGCTCCATTTGAGACCTAACATACTCATGTATATTTAAAGTACTTCTGAGAGAGGGACACTGGCACCTTCTTCAGAAGTTATTGTCAAGGAGTTAGATACAAAGTAAAAGCAGAAAGATGGCAGCCAGACTGAGTCATTGTTTTTCAATTACACAACTGAACACAGGTTGCAGGTTCCAATCCCAGAAGGCTTTGAGGGAACTCAGTGGTGATGGAGTTTCTGTTAAGTGGTCTGTTTTCTTCCTTCTTTATAGCTTTGCTGAACAAACTGCAGCATACAGATTGAACTGTTATTATAAATCTCCAATTAAGCCTTGAAAAGATACTCTTACTATTTATAAATCATAGGTTTTTAACTAGTTCCATGAGAGGTATGATTCCAGTAATCATAAGTAGTAGGGTGTAGATACAACCTGGCTCATGGAAGACTGGAAGAGCACCTATAAGCTAGGTGATCAGGAGCTGATCCAAAAAAAAGACTTTGGGGCACTGAAGTTATGGAATATTTATGAGCTGAATGAGGGTTTCTGTGTTGAAAGTTTATATTTAAATGGTAGCTGAGGTTGCACTGTTTTTTTTATAGTGATCATATACTAAAAGAAAACTTTATTGAGAAAGTAATAACCAAATACATCAGTAGTGCATATTTTGTGTTCCTAGAAAAGTTTGATTACTGTGTTAAGATGTAGAGTTTAGCCTCTATCGAACACATCTGTACAGAGCATCCAAGATGATATATATCAATCTATCTGATGTCAAAAGTGTGGATAATTAGTTGAAAACATATTGAGCATGTACTCCTCAAGGCAGCCTTCTCCAAAGAAAGCCTTTGGAATATGTCAAAGGGTGAAAAGAATTGGATTCCAAGAGTTCCATCAGTGGAAGAAACCTGAATAAAGCTTAAGGTGTGACTTACATAGAAAAACAAAAACAAAAACCGTCTTCCACTTCCACAAAGAATTTATATACTATTTACTTTTGTAAAAGAAATTGAATTCTGAAATAGGATGCATTTAAATAGTTATAACACTATTAGAGGATTCTCTGTCCTTTATCAAAAGTAAGCTAATCTGGAAAAGAGGGGAGGATTGACTCATAAGTAAAATGGGGCTCAAAGTGGGAAAGCACAAAGCAATAATGATTGTGATCTTCATCAGCCACCAACTTTGACCAGAAAATAGAGCATTGCAACCGTGTGAGATGGCCGAGAGGGTATAAATAGCCAGAAAGGTGAATACTCGGGCAAAGATATACTGAGTGGCTCTGAATTCCAAGGTATTACTGTGGAAAGCACAATTGCTGCGAATGTGTTGAACTCGCTGTTTGTGCCTATATAAAATGATAATCATAGAGCTGCTGGACCAGGTGATCAGGATAGAAAACAGAAGATCAGGGAATACAAATAAAGCTATATATAAAGAGACTGTGATTTTGTCATTATCTACAACCATATTGCTTTCAAAACCTGTCTCTTCTGTTATGTTTCTCCTTAATTTTATAGACATATACAAAGGTAAAAGAGCATTTATCATGATGTACAAGACCCAGCACATAGAAATGTAGAGACCAATGTCCTTTGGAGATTTGAATCTAATATTCTTCCAACACGAGTTTCTAGGGCTGATGATGATGACCTGGAAGACACTCAAGAGACAGGTTGTAGCAATGGACATACTCCTGAAAACTCTTAGCACATACATAAAAAGCTGGTAGCTCCAATCATTGAAGAAATGTTTCAACCCAAATGCCGTCATTGTGTTGACCATTCCTTTAGAGAGAATGATCAAGAAGTTAACCATGATCAGATGCATGATAATTAAATCCAAGGGTTTTACCCTGTGTTTCTTGTAATAAATGACTAAGTAGTAGGTAAGAAGGTATACATTTCCCAAAATTCCAACTGTATTCTCTATCAAGAATATTATTCCTATTCCCAAATTCTTAGAGTCCATTGTGTTAGGGAACAAAATTTACTTCAAATCTCAACAGCAGTCATTTCTCAGTGAAAATTTCAGATTTTTTTTTCTAACATGTCACAAATTCAGTAGAATCACATTAGCTAAAATGAAAGCATAAGGTGGTCTTCAAAACACTATTGTGTCCACACCACCTGTCACAATTATTTTCACACAAGTGACAACACCTAGTAAGAACTGCGGAAGATTTCAAGTGCACTTATTTATGGAGCAAATTCCTATTATATAACTAATAAACAATAACACTAAGGATAGGCCAAATTTATGCTGATAGAAGCAATGACAAGTGAGTTCAAAATGAAAGAATGTTCAGTTTTACAAGTCAATACATATGGGGAAAAGTCTTCTCATGTTATCTTCTCCTAGGAGGAATTCCATTATGGATGCCTTTCACCTGTCAATACTACCATTCAAATTTAAAGATTCAAACAGGAAATAGAATGTTTTTCTATTCTTTGATAATTATGTTTATTATGGAGCACTAATCATTAGGTGAGATTATTGAATTAGATAATTTTACATTAAGAGATAGCTCCTTAAATTTAACCCCTACAAAAATCCACATAGGAATGGTGGTTCAGAGTTAAGAGGAGTAGAGAGAGGAGTGGTTGACACATTCTGAATAAAGAATTGTTATCTAACACAATATAGAGAATACAAGTAAAGGATTCCAACATAAATTGCTTAGAAAAATGCAATACTCTACAAATAATATATACAGTAATAATGTCCGGTGCTACTAACTGATTCATTGTCTGGTGCCTTAACTGACATCCATGCTCATAGTTTATATCCAACATATTACATTGAAAGCTTAAGAAATGAAAACCTGTACATTAGCAGTGCAGTGATTGATGTTTATATAATGTTAACCTATGCAGCAATGTAAATTAAATCAACAATGTATCCATAAAACTCAAATGTACTGAAATTCACTTCAAAATGTAAGAGATCTTTCTCCAAGATTCAAATTTTAAAGAACAATATATGGAAGCAGTGTTCTTGTCTTTCTAAACTTAGCCCACTCATGAACCTACCTCTAAAAATTTCTACTTCTTCTAATAACCCAGTAGTACTTTACTCTTTATGCAATGACTTAAATCAGAAGTAAGCTACTAAATGAAATGTTCATTTTAGTGTGTGTGTGTGTGTGTGTGTGTGTGTGTGTGTGTGTGTGTGATTGTGTGTTCAGACAGGATCTTCTTCAGTAATGCAGGTTGCCTAGAATGTCTAACCATCACCTGCCTCACTCCAGGGAATCCTGGAATTGGCGCACCAAGCCAATATTCAGTTTCTTGATCTATGTATGACATTATGAGGTGACTGTCATTTATGATCTGTGAAGATATAAACAAATACAGAAAATTAAGTATATATTAGTTTGAACATGAGATAGCAACAACTTGAAGATACTTTGAAAACAAAGTGCAGCAGTGGAATTTACCTTGTGTTTGTGAATCATGCATAAGGACTATAACCCAATTCACTGAAGAAAAAGAAGGGCTTTCATCTGCACCATAATACCAGGAGTGGCCAATAAAGGAAGTTAAGCTGCTACAGTTCTTGTCTTACCAGAATGAACATCTGAGTTCAGTCTCCGAAATCCACATTAAAATCCAGAGGTAGGAGACCACAGTTATATTTCAAACAGTACAGAAGGGGCAGATTCACTTAGATCTCTTGTTCAGACTGACAATAAAGCAAAATATTCCCTGAGAATCTGGGATGATTGTGAGACACTAAATCAAATAGAATGAGATTTTAAAAATATCTAGAAGCTACAACTGAAGTTTTACTCTGACTCCAGACTCTTACATAAGTTCATGCTCACCAGATCACAAGAGATCTCCTTCACACAGACACAGGGACATAGGTACACAGCAAGACAAGTTATAACTAATTTCCATTTAAATCCTGTATTTCCTAATGCCTTTGTCAAGAAAAACTATTTTTAATGAATCAAGACTTATGAGCAACTTCTAAACAAAAGCAGATAGATAGGGTTAGTAAAATATGAAATCTTATAAATTACACGAATAGAAGACAGATGAGTGAATAGGATATGATGTGTAGATGTAATCTAAATATAAGCTCTTGTCTGAATGAATTAAGCTCCAAATTCTGGGGAAAAAAATGAGCAAGAAAAGTGGAAAAACAAACCCTGAGATACAGTGACCTCAGAATATCACCAAACAAGAAAGCTAACAGAAAACTTAAGTGTGCACACTGACATCTTCACTTTAACACTGCATTCCCAAGTTCAAGATGGAGAAGAGTGACTGTTAGGAAAGACAATGGGCATGTGCTCCCTAGAAACATTTCCTGAGGTAAGGATAAATGCTAACTCCTTCCTTGGATTAAACATATTTCTTAGTCACATTTCCACAGTCTATTTATAAACACAAAGTCATTTTCCAAAATTTATGGTTGTCATTCTGCAAATTTAATCTATGTCTCATGTATACAATGAATGGAAAACTGAAGGATGCAATTAAAATAATCCTGAACCACCTTTGAAATCAGATTTTATTAGGTTTCACAGTTTTCAATAGCAACCTGAGAAAGAATTTAATTACATGTACGCTACATCAAAAATTAGTATAATCTCAGGCACACTGTCTTCTCTTTAGTAACTTGGCCTACAGACCAGAAAGTCTCATTGTCCCTTGACAGAAACTCTACTTTTCTGTTTCTACCATGTATCAATTTGAAGAGTTGTGTACTTACCAGATCGTCTTTCTTGTTTTCTTTGCCTTTGTAGATGAAAAATATTATGTCACCAGATTTTCTCTCAGAAGAACTTGCAGTTCAATATGCAGCTCCTGACATGAAATTCAACACTGTAAATGAGTTAGACAGTCCAATGCTAAGATAAATGTTCATACCCATGTGACCTCAAATCCCTTCAATAATTCAATTTTTATCTCAGACATAGTTATGTGACAGAGCTAGCTTTGGGAGCCAAGAACTTTTCTGAAATTTTCCAGTTGATTATTACCAATGACAGCAACAAGTTTTTATGAGTGTATCCAATGAAACAATATGTTTGAAGAGGCTCTTACAATTACTGGATTCCCTGATGGCTGATTAGGGGTGAAGGTACAGTGTCTATGAAATTCCCATGTGAGCAAGTCATGTAAGAAGATGTGCTTGTCTCTTTGGAAGTGGCTAGTCTTCTTTGGGATCTCCTAAACAAGTCAAGTTTATTATAACTTTTGGATAATATTGGTGCTATCAGAACACCATACTGAACATAGTCAGTCAGGAGATTTTGGATTCTATTGAAGTACAGGTAAAAGGAAAGAGTGACACTATAATCCACACTACAATTCATCATAGCTGAACAGGTGTCCTTGTTGTATGAATGTGCGTTCTTTATGTATATGCCTAAGAGAGGAATTTTGGGGTCTTGAGGTAGATTGGGTCTGATTTTCATGAGAAACAGCCATACTAATTTCCAAAGTGGCTATACAAGTTTGCATTCCCACTAGCAATGAAGGAATGATCACCTTTCTCAACATCCTCTCCAGCATAAACTGTCATTGGTGTTTTATATTTTCACCATGGTGACAGGTGTAAATTTGGAAAGACTTGTTTGGATTTGAATTTCCCTGATAGCTAAGAATGTTGAGTAATTTAAGTACTTTTCAGCCATTTGAGATTCCTCCACTGAGAATTCTCTATTTAGATCTGCACCCCATTTTTTTTAATTTTATTACTTGCTGTTTGGGTGACTATCTTCCTGAAATGTGTATATATTTTGAAAATCAGCCCTCTGTCATATGTGGGCTTGGTCAAGATTTTTACCCATTCTGTAGTCTGCTGTTTTGTCTTGTTGACTGTGTCCTTTGACTCACAGAAGCATCTCAGTCTTGAGGTCCCCTTTATTAGTTGTGGATCTCAGTGTCTATGCTGCCAGTGATATGTTTAGGAAGCAATTGGGAGGTTTGAGCAGTTTATGGGGCCATTGGCAGTGGAAGCAGTATTTATCCCAAAAACCCTTTGAACATACATAAAAATTTGGTAGCTCCAATCATTGAAAAAAATTTCAACCCATAAGTTATCATTGCATTGCTCATTCCTTTAGAGAGAATGATCAAGTAGTTAACCATGATCAGATGGATGAGAATTAAATCCAAGGTTTTTACCTTTTGTTTCTTGTTATATATAACTAGGTAGTAGGAAAGAAGAGAGATGTTTCCCAGAATTTCAACTATATTCTGTATCAAGAACATTATTCCTATTCCCAAATTCCTGGAGTCCATTTTGTTTCTGAGCAAAATATGCCAGCAGTCTCTTCTTAGAGGAAAGTTTTGGATTTTTATAGCTAAGATGGTCCTGTGTACCTGATGTCACAAATGCACAAGAATCACATTACCTGAAGACTAAAAACCCAAGGAGGTTAATACAAATATATCCTGTCCACACCAACTCTCACAATTATTTTAACACTAACAACAGTCAGTAAGAACTGCAGAAGTCTTCAAATGCACAATAATCGAGTAAGTTCCCATTATGCTTCTCACAAAAGTGAGCACTAAGAATAGGGTAAAGTTATCCTGGCAGGAACAATGACCAGTGAATTCAAAATGAAAGAATGCTCAATTCCACAAGTCTACCCAAATTGGAGGATAAGGTCTTCTTTGATCATCTTCTCCAAGTAAGGAAATGACTGTGATTGCCTTTCTCCTGTAATATTAACATTAAAATTGAAAATATTACAACAGGAGAGAATGTTTTTATAATCTTTGATAATAATGTTTATTACATAGCACTAACCATTAGGTGAAAATGATGAATTATATTATGTTATATAAAGATATATCACCTTAAACTCCACCACCTACACATACACATGCAGAGTTAAGGTGAGGAGAGAGAGAAGAGGTGGAACATTCTGTGTAAAGAATTGTTGTCTAGGGATGGAGAGATGGCTCAGCCTTTAACGGCTAGGCTCACAACGAAAAACATAAGAA